TATAGACTATACTTTATTGTAGATTGGTCTAGTTTGGTCTAGTCTAGATTCGTCTGGTCTAGTCTCCTCTTGTCCCTTTTCTCGCATCACATCATCCTCGTCTCGGTGGCCATCGTCATCATCATCCTCCTCCTCATGGTCACCAGCTTCATCATCAGTATCATCCTCATCATTGCATCATCATCACACCCAGCTTTAAACAACCCCTGCTTTGGCGCCTGCAGGCCAAAGGCCAGAGGGCCCGCGGAATGCCAAAGGCTGTTAAATTTGCACATGTAATCTGTTGTTTGCATGTGCACGCATACTTGCTGCTACGCCCAGAGGCTTCTTGCTTGCAGTTGCACATGTACCTGACGCAAAGTCGGGTTTCTTGCTTGCATGTGCACATGCAACTGCTACCACGTTGGGAGGCTGGGTGCTTGCATTTGCACGTGTACATGGTGCTACGGTGCTACCTCCTAAACTTATTGCATTCATTGGCACGCATGACCAGACGCGTTCTGTAGATGCTTGCTCGTGCTTGTGGCACTCGTTCAAAACATGAATACCCTTGGTTAAGAAAACACATTTGTTTTTCTACCCATGGGTTTGGCGACAAATGTCGCCGCGTGCAACGAATGAATTTAGCAAAAAATTGCAATCTTGCTCAAAAATGGCAAAATTGATTTGTACCCCTTTGAATATCTAACAGCTGTGTGTTTTGAATATAATATATGTTGTATATATATATATTACATAATGGTTATATCATGGTTTTACATTTGCCCCAAATATCATGGTAAATCATCACTTTCCCAAATTATTCAATAGGCATTTGGGCATCACCATGTCCCCCATGTTTGGTAAAACCATCTCAAACCGATTGGTCAGGACCTTCCACCTGCATGATCTGCAGTTTTAAAGACGCACCCCGATTTCCAGAGATTCCACCCGCAAAAAAATAAAACCAAAAACTACAGTGGATATTGGAATGTGTAGCAGTTGTTCCTCCAAATGCCCTCGCTTGCCTTCTTACATCTGCTTGGTTCTTGGGAGGCCATGGCGTTCGAATGGCTAGTCACTTTGAGCATGGAAACCAATTTTTGGGGAATTTGTTGGGGCTCCACATTCCGCTCATTTCTGAACGTTATCTTAAACAGTCAAAATGTTGAGCCTATCCCATGTCTACAGACTTGAAGTTGCCAATTAATTGGCGTAGCCACTGAAACGTCGAGTCAGCTTCTGGAACCAAATCCATCCAAATCCCAGAAAGCAATGACAGAACTCCTGTAAGCCAAGCGCGACAAGCGATTTTACATCTCGCGAGTTTCCAGAAATAAGATGAAATAAGAACCAAAGTATCCACAGTTCACTGAGCCTTAAACTATCCAACATAATTAATTGGCCATGGCCAACTCAAGACTCACATCGACTGTTGACATCTTCAACCAACTGTGATTGTCATGTCTGTCATGTCTTTGCGAAAAGATGCCAACATGACTCGACTTTAAATTTTTATATAGATATATTTGAAGCATTCCAAAGCCAACCCGTTCTGGCCACTCATCAAGCAAATGTACTAGTGACTAAGTGACTAACCGTCTAACCGTCAAGAACCTTGCCACCCATCAAGAACAAACATCAACTCCACGGCCTTTTCAACTCTTGGATAGGCGCGCCAGATATCCCAGTTCCTTTGAAGACAATTTCAGCCGGGTCAAGTATGGTCCGGTCGGGTCAAATGCAGCCAAGGCAGATTCTGCCAGTTGCAGCAGCTGACGGTTTCAAATCGGAATGGCAAGGCCCCAAGGAGCCATGGAACAAGCGGCGGCATGTCGGGCATGCCAAGCACACTATTACTGCGCAAGTGAGTGCGTTTTCTCTGCTGTCACCTGCCACAGGCTTCGCTTGAAATAATTTTTTTTTTCACGTTCTCTGCGCCAGGTGGGCAACAATACGGTAGGACGAGAAGGAGAAACTCGACAATTTCATAAAATGCTCACATGTTCTTCATGTCCTCAACGCAAAAGTCTAAGCTCTACAAAAGATTGTCACAACAGCAGCTAAATCGATACCATTAATGGGACTGTGTTGTTTTTGGCCCCACATCACTGTGTGGGGTTCTAATTTTTTTGCTGGCAATCCGCCGCTCCTCCTCCTCCTCCCGCCGTCTCCTCCCGCTATCCAATCATCAATAGATAGTCTTTTGAACACGCCTGTTCCTGAACCTCTCATTTTTCCTCCGTCATCATGTCGAGAGTCTCTATTGAATTTTCTGCGCTTCTCTTTCAAACATCGGCATTTGGTGACTCTCTGTAGACTCTCTGGACTTTGGGTTTTCGCGTGGCAGGCGCGGCACTTGGTGACTCCGCAGACTGGGACGCCGCAGTTTTTTCGCAAGTCAGGCTCTCCGTAGACTGTCTGGCCGCTGGGACGGCACATCTGGTTGTTCACGTGACAGGTGTGGCATTGGTGAATCTTTGTGGCGCGCCGCGTCTGGCCGGGAAGGTTGAATCTCCGTAGACTCCTAGGGCGCAGCTGTTTCGCGTGGCAGGCGTCGCAACTGCGCGCCGCGACTGGTTCAGGCGCGGCACTTCGTGACTCTCCGTAGACTCTCTGGCCGCTGCGCTGGGACGCCGCGGCTGTTTCGCGTGAACCAAAACCAAAACCATCACATCCCATCGCGGATTCCAAAATGTTTAAGCAACCGTTGTGGTTTGGGATATTATCTGGATTTCGTCTGTGCTGGTTTTCCTCGTCATTTGCAACGTTTTGGATATTCCACCTCTCATGGCGCACAGTATTTCCACTGCTCTTGACACGTGACTTCTCCTTTGATATGGTATTTGCATGTATTTGCAGCATGGGAATGTCAATATTTGATGATGTTTCTTCTGGCAATTTGGAACGACAACCTGCCATTTTGAATATTTTGAATGATATTTATTTGCAACGTTTCGCTCCCCTGGAAAATAGAGACGACTTTGTTGTAGTTGTTCTTCTCTTTGGTTTTTCTTCTTCTTCTTCTTCCTCTTCTTGTCCAACTGTGGTTGTGGTTTTCATTTTTTGCTCGCCTCCTGACGCCTCCAAGCCACCACTGCCGCGGAAGCGACGCTGCGGCTTATGAAGATTGTTCAACTTACTGGTGGAGAGTTATTGAAACCTATCAATAATCACCACTAAACCATAATAAGTATCAATAATCACTATTAAACCTATATTACTGATCCATTGGCTAACTATCAACAATCATCCCAGCAACCCCCATTGCCATCTATCCCCTACGTAAAACGCAGTAAGTAAAAGTGAAGTGGATGTTCACTTTGAAATCTTCCTGCCGGAGAGAAATTGACCCTTGGAATGGCGGTCTGCCACTCTGGAAGCAAATCCTGGGAAGCACTGGAAGAATTCTTTGTCAGCAAACAGTGCCAAGAGAAAAGATGCTGCAAACCGCACATATCGCTGGTTATGAAAGTCTCTGAAGATCCCTGTACGAGTTCACCGGGTCAGGTTGGGGCCTCTGATTTTCTACTAGAAAATGGATGTTGTATAAATTAGGGACCCAAGAAAATCTACTGGTGAAATTGCAAAATCCAACATCTTCGGTCCCAAACAATCCAGGTCTCACATCCAACATGCCATGTCCGAAATTTTGGCAGCTCAGTCACCAACCAGAACCTTTCCAACCACCAGAAACAAGAATAATCATAATCATAACAGAACTCCACTAGTCGCACCAACTTGGAAGAGATAAGCCCTTTACCAGTCTCAAAGATCTTCAAATCAGCCCCTTTCAATTGCACAGCCTTTTCAACTCATTTGCTTTTTGACTTTTCAACTCGATTGCACAGCCTTTTCTACGCTCTACGCTTGGTCGCTTCAAGACAATTTCGTTGGTCATGCAGAGTCACCTGACATTTGCATTGCATTGGACGGCTGATACATAACTGTCATCTTTTCATATCTTTTCAAGATACAAAATCTTTAATCAATCTTTACCATCTGGTTATTTAACATAGCCATGGAAAATCACCATTTTAATAGGTAAACCATCTATAAACGGGCCATTTTCCATGGCTATGTTAAATAACCAGAGGGTAAATCTTGGCATGGCCCATCTGTAGAGTTGGGCTTGGCAATCCCGCATCGGCCAGGTGACGTGGGCGGCTGAGCCCATCTCGGCCACTTGGAACGGCGAGGTCCCACCGGCCGGTTGTAGCACAGCCTGAGATTCTCACGGACAGCGGTGGGTGAAGGATCACACTGTGGAAGTAAAACTACGCCGCGAATTCAATGCCTAAGAATTGAAGAAGGACACTTTTTCAGCACCAAGATCACATTCAGAACTGTTCTTGCCTTTTCTACTCGCGCAAAAGCACGAAAACTCCAACGACTTGTCACAACCGCACCGCTTGTGTTGTTTTTCACCGCGCGACGTCAGCACTGCTTCAAACCCTCTGCTGGCGGAAGTAACCTGTCGAATGTGTCCACAATCTGCAGCGGGGAAAACGGAAACACAAAATGTCCAGGCATTGTCAAGAGACATAGACATGGGAACTGGTGACTTAAAACGCTTTTAGGACTGCTGCCACTCTGTTGAACCAATTTGTCGCTTCGCGACGTTAAATCTTTATTTGTTACAAAGCTGAAACGCCAAAAAAAGTAAGCGAATGTGAGCGAGCATCTCACACAGCTGTTCAAAACGCTCCTTTGAAGCATTTGAAAAGCATGCCTTTGTATACACATTATACACGAAAACACTTGGGCCATTTGGCGAGGTGAGACCTGCATGAGCATGATGGGCATGGGGATCTGCGATGTGGCCACAACAAAGAAACCAATTTATGTACTATGCAAAGCACAGATAAAAATGTTTTCGAGCTACTCCCTATACTGGTTTGATGGCGATTTACTTGTCTATCGTTTTGGGCACCATTAAAAGCAATAAAACTTATGATTTGGGATGATTTTGGTAAATTTGGTGACCCATGCCCACGTTGAGCATATATAAACATGTTCGATCAAACCTGTTCCGTTTTCATGGTCTCCTCACTGTTCTCACTGTCTTGATCCTCCATGTCTACGACTTCGCTTTCACGCGGCAAGTTGCTACCATCATTGACCATGACCATGTCCACAATTTTCTCCATCCCGTCATGCTCGACCTCTTCGACCTCTTCGACCTCTTCGACTTCGGAAGCAATTTCCAGAATCTCTACATCAACAAAGGCCTCCGCGGCTTCCGAGCGATCCAGGCTCGGAATGCTCTGAATAGGCAATCGACGAGATCCTTTCCACTTCTCTGACTTCTCCAAAGAAATGGTTCCCAACTCAGAGTCTTCGGCAGATGGATCCCCAGTCGCCCGAAAAGAGATCTGCAGCTTTTGCTCGTCTCCTTTGTTGGGTCGATGCGAGAAAAAATACTTGTACTGAGTCCTGTACTGTGGGGACAAAAGCAATCAACATCAATCACCTACACTTCTGGTAGGGATACAACCCCAACAAATTTACCAAAGCAAAGCCGGGAAATTCTGATGCTGAAGGGCCGAGAAGAGGACCATTTAGCACCTCCAGTCTTTTGCAGGGTCACGGTCTTTTCTGGTATGCCATCGACCTCACAAACCACCAGAAGATCTTCAGCCCCATTGATTTGCAGCAGCGATCGAGTCTCCGGAGGCATGGAAATCTGAAGCCTCAAGACACGTCCTTCCTTGCGCCAACTGCACAAGTCATCTGGATGCACTTGGTAGAAGTTCAGCAATGCCAAGCCCAGAGACATCAAGGCGATTGGGATGAGGAACAAAGACGAGATAAAGCCCACGAAACCACTGACAAACCATTTCCAAGCATCGTCGGGATGAACTGAACTGAGGAAGATGGACACCACCACAATACATGTCAGGGCATAAGACCAGACGTAGGCGAAAGCAATGAGGTTTCCGACTCTGGTGAAACATTTCGGTTCACGGGGGCACCTGCTTAGGAGCACAAGCAAAATGAAAGGAACGACGCCGACAAAGGTGGAGATGATTGAGACCTCAGTGACGCAGCCAAGGGCTTTACAAATCTGTGACTGGTGCCCGACAAACACCACAACACACGTGACACGGCCTCTCGATCCGCCACGGACCAAGCTACCAAGACGGATCGAATGATCATCTCCGGCGAGAGCTGGAAGAAGGCTTGGCAGTTTGCATCTGCCGCCCTGGCAGTGGAGTTGAAGAACACCGCGGCAACAGCCCACTTGCTGTAGAGCAAGGCAAAATGCAACAAGCAACGGAAGACACAGGAGCTAACAGGTGACGGTTCCGACCATCGAACCCAGGCATTGTTGGCCGTGTAGAGGGTGTTGGCCTTGATAAAGGCACTGCTACTGCCAAAACGGATGATGCATTTGTATGCCTTCACATGTGCTGCGACCTGTCCCACAGAGGAGTGGAGCCCTTCCAAATCTGCCAATGTCTGGCCAGTTTCTTGGCGAACAAGCATGGAATAGAAGTGCTTGCTAAAGCGCGAAACTTTCGGCAACCTCAACGCTATGAGCTCCTCAGGAAGTAGCTGCTTCAACGATGCTAATTGCATGGTGCTGCTGCTACGTCTTTGTAGTCTTTGTAGTCGTAGCCTTTGTTGGAACCTATGAGCCTCTGAGGCCTGCTTCAGCTCCTTCAAATACCGTTCATGTTTCTTATCACACCTCCATGATGCAAAGAGAAATATCCCAGCCACCAAGATCACTGCCCAATGCACCAGAGCAGGGATTGACCACATCCACATGCCTCCTTTAACGAGATTTTTCAAGCCGTCCAAAGAGAAGATCACAACCGCTGCAGAGCATGCGAAAATGTTCTCAATGGTGCGCAGCACAAAGCCGAAAAGTGACAGGTGCCGTGTCTCACAGGTGACCAATCCATTGCTGATGGACGTGGTCACACCTTCGGTGGACCACATGTTGGTCTCCAAATCCCAAAAGGCACAGGTTCCAGCGGTTCCAACGGTTCCGTCCTGGTGGATCTGGTGGATCTGGTGGGTTGGGGTTTGCGAAAACATGTCTCTGCTGGCGTTTCGCAAACGACATGCTCATGAGTGTTGTTGATTGACGATGATGCCGTTCCTCGACGCAAATCTAGGCATTGGGGCCTAAAGTGAAGAACCTATACACAAATTGCCAAAATCAGTGAGTGGTACTTGGAGTTCAGGTAGCTGAGGCTACGGTTCACGATAAAACAAGAAGCATAGTAATAGGTGAACCACCATTATGAGAAGGGAACGACCAAAACACTGAAACCCCGGCAACGGAGGCAGCACAATAAGCATCCTCGTGTTGAAAACAAACAAGAACCAGCACACCAATAAAACACCAAAGACCACAACCCAAGAACAACAAAACCCAAAAGATACAAGTAAAACTCAAACAGCACCACAAAATAATTCCGGGGAAACCACCTATAGCCCAACTAGTCCTCTGTCTGGTTCTCGACGACCGGGACCGGGATGACCAACTCGAGCGGTGCCGGCAACGGCCCTGACCATTCACGGCCATCGGCGCTGATGAGCACAATACTGACCGGCCGAGCGGCCAAGCGGCTTGTTAGCTCCTTGTGAGCCGACTCTTTGGCCCGAGTTGTCTATGGGATGATCCACAACAAATTGAGCGGGAGACTGAAAATATACAGAATCTGAATATTACGAATGACATCACATCTTCAAGGTTATTGCAATTAACACTACAACATAACTTATAACCCACCAAAATTACCCCAAAAATCAGCCCAGTTGGACATGGTGACGAAATTATGCTTAACGGGGAATATTCCTTTTGGAAATCTCCATGCGACATTCTCTTCTGAAGTTCAGTACAGCTACAAAGGTTATGGTCATGTATGTCCTTATGATATACCTTCGAATGGCAAATGGTCGATGAAGGTCTAGTCAAGGTGTCCAAGGGCTGGGAGGTCTTTTTGCAAGACCTTCCGAATCGAGATGAATCAGGCACGGGTCCCCTGGGAAACCGCCAGTTAAAATTGGAGATTTTCGTCCAGAATCTCCTCGGTCTGATTCTCCAACGCCTCCAACGCTTGGACCATCTCCGAATCCTGACCCAGTTGCGCCACACTCAGCGTCACTGAGCCGCCCGCAGCTGCCAGCAGCGTGGTGGGGACAGCCAATGAGAGGCCGTTGGGGGCGGAGACAGTGATGCGGTCCTTAGATGAAAAGACCACAAAACACCAAAGGTACCAGTGGATTCCAGGGGCCCTTTGGTGAAAAAAACTGCATAGGGGGCGCGTGTTTTTTTCACCTAAACAGTGCGAACACACAAGGGGTTCTAACGCGTGGCGCCGACACATGTCACGATCTCATTGGATTTGTAAGTTCTCGTGCAAAAGTTACCTCTGGAATTTTCTATGTCTATTTCGGCTGTGAATTCTCATTGCTGGCGCAACCCTCTTCGGCACTTTGTGCGTGCCAGATCGCTTTCGTTGTGGCACGGTGCGAATTTTGGTATCGCTCGTGCAACCATCTGGGCGCTTTGCACGTGTCGGATCGTTCTCGTTGTGGCGTGGTGCTCATTTTGAGATCGCTCGCGCAACCCTCTCGGCACTTTGGGCGTGTCAGATCGTTCCCTCGTGGCGGCGCGCGCTCATGTGGATAATCAAGGAGATCTGCGCAGACATCTTCGCAGAGACCTTTGCTAGAGATCTTGTATAGGGATCTCTTACAGGGATCTTGGATGGATATCTCCTAGATAGAAAGACCTTGCACCGAGATCTTGCCAAGAGAAATCCTCTAAAGACCTTGGACAGACATCTCTGACACACATCTTGCTAAGAGATCTTATATAGAAAGCTTGTGCAGAGATCTTGCCAAGACACCTCTGCTAGAGATCTTGCAGGGAAATCGTGCACAGAGATCTCTTACAGGCATGGAACTCAGACCGACGAGTGCCTGTACCTCATAGATTCGCCATGATACTTTTCCAAAGCAGCTGCATGGCAGTCAGCAAAGACTGAAGAGTGCACAGTGGAAGTGCACAAAAACCTAGCATCGAACAAGCATTTGATTGCCATGAAGCTCTTGATTATCTTACAGAGATCTGACAGAGATCTTGGAAGAGACATCTTTTAGAGAGCTTGTACGGAGATCTTGTATAGAGATCTCTTACAGAGATCTCTTACGGGGCTTGCCTGGAGATCTCTGATAGAGAGGGTGTGCAGATACGTTGCATAGAAATCTCTTGCAGAAATCTTGTGCAGAGACCTTGCATAGAGATCTCTTAGAGAGATCTTGCCAAGACTTCTCTGACAGAGATCTGGCCAAGAGATCTCATATAGAGACATTGCACACAGATCTTGACAAGGAGATCTTTTCTAGAGACCTGCCCCAGGGATCTTGACAAGAGGTCTCTCGCGGAGTTCTTGCCAAGAGATATCTTTTAGAGACCTTGTATAGAGATCTCTTGCGGAGATCTTGTACAGAGACCTCGCATAGATCTCTTGCAGAGATCTTGCCAAGAGGCCTCTTACAGAGATCTTGCCAAGAGACCTCTTATAGGGTTGACTTCTGCTTTGGTAAACCATGACTGGTAAACTATGATTCGTTAACACTACTCGTAAACTATGAATCGTAAATTATGCTTCGTAAAACATGACTAGGACACTATGACTCGTAAACAATGCTTCGTAAACCAAGATCCGTAAACTATGATTCAAAAACCAAATCTAAGATGTGACTGTGAATGTACTTGCCAGAAGGGGTGGGATTTTGATATGACATGTAAGATGTGACTGTGCATGTACTTGCCAGAGGGGGTGGGATTTTGATATGACGTGTAAGATGTGACTTTGCATGTACTTGCCAGAAGGGGTGGGACTGTGATATGACGTGTAAGATGTGACTTTGCACGTACTTGCCAGAGAGGGTGGGGTTTTGATATGACGTGTAAGATGTGACTGCGCATGTGCTTGCCAAGAGGGGGTGGGATTTTGATATGGCGTGTGAGATTAGACTGTAGATGTACTTGCCAGAGGGGGTGAGATTTTGATATGGCGTGTGAGATTAGACTGTAGATGTACTTGCCAGAGGGGGTGGGATTTTGATATGGCGTGTGAGATTAGACTGTAGATGTACTTGCCAGAGGGGGTTGGATTTTGATCGTGTAAGAAGTGACTCTGCATGTACTTGCCAGAGGGGTTGGGATTTTGATATGACGTGTAAGATGTGACTTTGCATGTACTTGCCAGAGGGGTTGGGATTTTGATATGACGTGTAAGATGTGACTTTGCATGTACTTGCCAGAGGGGGTGGTATTTTGATATGACGTGTAAGATGTGACTTTGCATGTACTTGCCAGAGAGTGTGGGGTTTTGATATGACGTGTAAGATGTGACTGCGCATGTACTTGCCAGAGGGGGTTGGGATTCTGATACGACGTGTAAGATGTGGCTTCGCATGTACTTGCCACAGGGGGTGGGATTTTGATATGACGTGTAAGATGTGACTTTGCATGTGCTTGCCAGAAGGGGTGGGACTGTGATATGACGTGTAAGATGTGGCTTTGCATGTACTTGCCAGTGGTGGTGAGTTTTGGTTGCTGAGGTTTGGTTGCTGAAGCGAGACTGAGTTTTGGTTGCTGAAGCGTGGTTGCCGAAGCGTCGTCGCTGAAGCGAGAGGATGGTTTGGTTGCTGAGCCGGGGTGGCTGAAGCGTAGTTGCTGAAGCCGAGTTTCATATCTCTTTTATAGAGCTTGTGCAGAGATCTTGCCAAGAGGCTCATTGTAGAGATTTTGCGCGGAAACCTTGCATAGAGAGATCTTGCCAAGAGGTCCTTACAGAGACCCTGCCGAGAGACCTCTTGGAGAGAGCTTCTACAGGGATCTCTTACGGAGATCGAAAGCTTCTACAGGGATCTCTTACTGAGGTCTTGTACAGAAACCTTGCATAGACTTCTCTTGCAGAAATTTTGACACGAGACCTATTGTAGAGAACTTGGACAGAGATCTCTTACAGAGATCTTGCCAGGAGATGTCTCATAGAGAGCTTGACAAAGAGATCTTGCCAAGAGGCCTCTTGTGGACATTTTGCGCAGAGACCTTGAGATTTTGCGCAGATACGTCGAGAAGAGAACAGAAATCTCGCTAAGGGACCTCTCCTAGAGAGCTTTAACGGGGATCTTGCTTAGAAATCTCTTACAGATATCTTGTGTGGAGATCTCTTACAGACACCCTCTACAGATATCCTTACAAAGGGGTCTCTTTTTCAGCAGCAGCTTCTGGAATCGACCCCGGTATCTCTTGGCCATGTTCTGGATTATGTCTAGGACCACAGAGATCTTGTGAGGAGGTCTTGTAAAATGATCTTGCACAGGACAGGAACTGCAAAGAACGTCCTCCAAGAGATCTTGTCAGGGGCTCCTGTCAAGAAATCTTGCGCAGATATCCTGTAAAGATGCTCCCAAACAGATCTTGCCTAGAGCCTTCATAGGTCATAGAGATCCTACCCAAAGGTCTTGCACAGGACCTTCCCGAAAGATCTTCACAATGTGGCCCCGCACAAGATCTTCAAAGAATGTCCTCCTCCACGAGATCTTGTAAAGAGAACTTTACAGAAATCTACTAAGAGATCCTGTCAAGAGATCTTGCACAGAGATCCTGCAGTCAGGACCACTTTAACGAGAAGCTGTGGCTGCTCCTGCACTCTACCTTAGTTATCCTTAGTCCTTAGTTAACTGTAATCGCTGTTGGGGTCGCTTGCTGGGATGTTTTTACGCATCACCTTGGGTGAGTGGATTCCATGGTGAGGCGCTTGAAACGAGGGCGAGGGAGAGGAAATTCAACACAGGGTTTTATAGTATCAGGTCCTTATCAGGTTGTCTATGAATGTTTGGAGGACCACCATCACAATGTGGCACAAGTGCTTGGGCCGAGGTTAGGATCGCGTATGATAAATTCCCCTTTGGAAACCGCTCGTATACCAAACAATATCGACTCTGAGTATCTGTGGCGTCTTCCGGCACGCTCATTGCCACTCCAAGCACCAAAGTGCCATCAGGCTCTTCAGTTGATACTGGAACCCCGGTCTCATTAGCTGCATTCTCTAAGAGTTGCCGAACCAAGTTTTTCTGCCTTTCTTCAAAATTCACTAGAACTTCGCTTGCCACGTTCCTGGCTGAAGTCACTGTCACCGTGCTGGTGAACGTCAAGGTGGCAGGGCTGACGGAGCTCATCATCAATGTGGTGCTGGCAGCTCTGCTGCTTGTCCATGTTGAAGATACAGAAACTGATGTTGAAGATACACTGTGTGTATTTCTTGTCGACTTTGTACTCGTCGTGGGAAGTCCCGTAGGTACCGACGTTTCCCATGTGCGTGTGGTTGATCTGCTGCTAGAGCTGGTGAAAGAGAGTGACGTTGCGATGCTTCTGGTTGTGGTGATTGTGCTGGTGCTGCTTGTGCTGATGCTTGTTGCGCTGTTAGTGCTTGTGGTGGTGCTGCTTGTTGCACTGCTGCCGGTTTTAGTGCTGAATGTGCTAGTCTTCGTTCTGGTCGTGCTGGAGCTGCTGACGGTGCTGCTTGTCGACAATGTCGTGCTGGAGCTGCTGACGCTGCTGCTTGTTGACAATGTCGTGCTGGAGCTGCTGACGCTGCTGCTTGTTGACAATGTCGTGCTGGAGCTGCTGACGGTGCTGCTTGTTGACAATGTCGTGCTGGAGCTGCTGACGCTGCTGCTTGTTGACAATGTCGTGCTGGAGCTGCTGACGGTGCTGCTTGTTGACAATGTCGTGCTGGAGCTGCTGACGCTGCTGCTTGTTGACAATGTCGTGCTGGAGCTGCTGACGGTGCTGCTTGTTGACAATGTCGTGCTGGAGCTGCTGATGGTGCTGCTTGTCGACAATGTCGTGCTGGAGCTGCTGACGCTGCTGCTTGTTGACAATGTCGTGCTGGAGCTGCTGATGGTGGTGGTGGTCGTAGATGTAGCGAAAATTTTCCACAGAAAATAATCATTACCACCCTGGTTGGAGCTGGAACCAACTGCACCATCAGTATGGCCGGCTATGATTAGATCAAGGCTTGCAGTCAAAGCCACACCCCACCCCGTGCTGGACCTTGGATGTGCTGGAGGTTTTAATATGTTTTGGTCATTGCAAAACCCCGAAAGATCCAGGAACCAAAATTCATGCACCAGTTCTCCCTATCAATTTAAATACATAGACTTGATAAAATTGGTCAAATTGCATTGCTTCATCTTTGTTCCAAAAAAATGCCAAAAAAATTCAAGCACATGCAAGGAACCCAGATCCCTGGAAAAAGGAGGTTGACTGCCAAGTTCCAGCCAAATCGAAGACCATGACAAATGCAGCAGATGTACCCGTGTCAGTGCGACCATCTAACTCACCATCAGATTTCCCAGACACGTAAATCAGGTCATTCGTCAAGTCCAATGCCATACTAAGTGCCTGTGGGTGAGTATCCGTTTTGTGGTCAAGGCATGAGAAACCGCTGAGGAGTTTGAGTCTTAAATTACTTTACTTCAAGTGACCTCCGCCCAGACAAATTGTCTGACATAGTTTCTGACCTCTCATCTGGAACTATTTATATATATATATATGGCATATATATATATATAGATATATTAATATATAAAGATATATATATATATATTCTGGCATTTTTCTGGCAACAACTTTGACATTCTTTCTGGCATTCTATCCGGCATCTATTCTAACATTCTATCTGGCATCCTTTCTGGCATATATTCAGTCATTCTTTCTGGCATGTGTTTGGGTCCGTGCGTGCCCAGACTGATCTGGAGCTCGCCATGGGGTTCGGGCCTGTGTGTGCCCAGGTCGAGCTGGCACTCTTTCAGGCATAAACCCTGGCATTTAATTTGCCATTCTATCTGGAATATACTCTCACTTCGACTGACATTCTTTCTGGCATTCTACCTGACATATGTCCTGGCATTTTATTTGACAGTTTTTCTCGCATTCTATCTGGTTTCTATTAGTATAACAATCTAATTGACATTTTTTTTGTATTTACTCTGATATTCTTTATGGCAAGCTATCTGACATACATTCCGACCATTCCGATATCATTTACTCTGACATTCTATTTGGCAGTTCTTCCGCAATGACTGCTTCCTTCTCTGCTTCACATCTCAATCAAAATAGCTGCATGGACACGTGTTTCTCTCCAGTCTTGCCCGGAATGCAGAAAGGTGTCGAGAAGCACTTTCGTATCAAATCAAAACAGCCCAATCAATGCGATTTTTTCGATTCTGTCCTACTGGTACTATGTTTCTGCTGCTTTCGGGGTGGTTTATTGTGAGATGCACGATCGCGCTATTCCACCTCTACTGATCTGTCAGAATCTATCATCATGATGAAGGGCAAGGTATCAAAAAAAATCCAGGTATCAAAATAAAAATAAGAATACGATCAACAAAAATTAAAAAGGATCAAAAAAATATTGATATTTCGATGGTAGGGACAGCATTTCGGACATGGCATGAGGCAAGAAAAAACTGGACACCAAGGGATCAAAAAAAACTGCGAATAATGTTGTTTGGTTCTGTGTGATCCGGGTTATGGCACCAGGGTCTTATGGCACCAGGAATCACAAGTTTGAAGGTGGGCAGTAGCAGCAGCAGCAGCAAGCGTAGCCGTAGTATAGTAGTAGTAAGTAGTAATAGTAGTAGTACTAGTAATAATAGTAGTAGTAGTAGGAGTAGGAGGAGTAGTAGTAGTAGTAGTACCACTACTACTACTACTCCTCCTACTCCTACTCCTACTACTCCTACTACTCCTACTACTACTTCTCCTACTACTCCTACTACTCCTACTACTCCTACTACTCCTACTACCCCTACTACCCCTCCTCCTACTACTACTGCTACTACTGCTACTACTGCTACTACTGCTACTACTGCTGCTACTGCTGCTACTGCTACTGCTACTGCTACTGCTACTACTACTACTACTACTACTACTGCTACTACTCCTCCTCCTCCTCCCCCTACTCCTCCCCCTACTCCTACTCCTACTCCTAGTCCTAGTCCTAGTCCTACTCCTACTCCTACTGCTACTACTACTGCTGCTGCTGCTACTACTACTACTGCTACTACTACTACTACTACTCCTCCTCCTACTGCTATTACTACTACTACTACTACTGCTAGCAGCAGCAGGAAGTAGTAGTAGGAGCAGTTTGCACACACAACGCTACACGCAAAAAAACACACACACACACATATATATATATATATATATACATGCAGAGAGGGTATCGCAAGTGCGACCTGAATAAAGAAGCGGGAGGGGGTGATTGGGGGGAGGGCGCAGCGCCTCCCCCAAAGCAGAATGACAAGACCTGTTTTCACAGGCAACGCTACATGCAAAAACACACATATATATATATATATTAATATATATATATATACACACATGCAGAGAAATGTAATGCAAGTGTGACTTGAGAAGCGGGAGGGGGGATTGGGGGGAGGGCTGAAGAGGGGCACTAGCGTCTATTCACGATCAGCTAGAGCGTCTTCCCAAGATAGCTTCACACCCTTTTTACTCACGGCGTATTGCCTGTCGGTGTGGTGTCCACAGGGTTACTCTATATACCTCTTGAGCCTTGAGGGCGCATATAAATGTGCTCAATACTCATGCATGTACCCGCATAGGTATTAGGTCGAAACAAAAACACAGGCACAAATTCAAAAGCAATGAGTAGAGCACTACGCCTTGTCGTACCCAATTGGTATTAAGAGTATCTTCCTGCATTAGCTACACAATGGCAAATCGCAAAAACTGAGCGGAAGTCATGCAGTGGTGTTTCAACAAAAGTAGCGGATTGAAAAGGCGAACAGTGTCCTAAGGACATTTCGAAATGAAAACAGCGGACTCGCTAATTATTTCTCGGCATGACCAATGGTGCACTAGGCACGGTCTCTCCAAGCAAAATGCTCGCTCTACCGGTGAAAAGTTCGAATTCAAAAGTTCGGATTCGCAAGATTCAGAAATTTCGGTCAGAATGGAAAACAATTGACCGAATAACAAAATAACCGGAAATATCGGATCTCCAAAGTTGCTCATTCAAGCGAACAATGGACAGAAATCGGAGTTGGTAAAATGTTGATTCGCTCCATTCGGAGTCTTTTCATTCGATTCGCTCCATTCGGAGTCGTTCTGCTCTGCGGAAGGTTTACGGAGACAAAATGCAGATAGTATCTCTATATACACGGAGTACCTATCTACATTAAAGTGAAATTCAGACACAGTAGTGGCATTATCTCCAACTGAAGGTAGTATATGCCAATTTGTGTAAAATTGAAATCTTGATTTTAGTATTTTTCCAAACTGCATTGAGTTTATACTCTTTTTTCAATAAAGTGAGCGCACAGAAAAACTGTACACGGCTTCTCTCATGCTGTGTTATCTTCATCTACAGAGTATACACTCACTTTGGTCTCCATGTTCTTGAGGGTCTAGACAATGAAGCTGAAGATCCACCGTAGCCACGTTGTGACCAGTCGCTCCAGCCATAGCCTTGCTGTGACCAGTTGCTCCAATCTTGCCACGTGCTCTTATCATCATCTTCCCAGGCTCTCCTCTTGTTCGCTTGTTGTATTGCCTTTCTGTCTTCCTTCCGTCTCTTCTTCATCTCGAAAGGTCCATACTTCTGTTTCTCACCCCATTGCATATCTGAGGGTTTCAAGTGAACAAGAATGGGATTGTGAGCATCAGTGTCTGTTGGTGCGACCATAAAGATGTTGTGATCACTAGACAAACAAGTTTCATTCACCCTGAATGTAAACTCACCAGCATAATCCATGTGATCTTGGTCATCAAAGTCGTTGAGATCCTCTGACAATAACGCCTTGCATGTCCCCATTCAACAATAGACATCATACAACAGTCACCATAACCATGAGTCTCGGTTGCTAGGTCCTTGGTGAACTTCTGAGTTGTAATGCCATCTAGATGTGTTGCAAGAAAATCAAGGTCACGATAGCTGCACGAGATAAAGTGCTTGTGGCTTGTCATCTCCAATTGGTTTGTGTTCATGATCAATGTTGTAATCAATGTTTGGACAAACCTCTGTAGTCGTTCAGGTAGTGGACATTGTTCAAAACGTTTTCGGCACCAATTTCCAAGATTCCAAAACATCAATGAGAACTGTGGAGAAGATCTGTAAGGATGTTCTTCATCCATGTGAGTAGTCGAGCCACCTCCTAAGTATCTGGAAGCCAAGCAATTCAACACGACCAATAAGGTAATACCTTGTGTTCTTGAATGTAGCTTTCCAATACCTTGGTCGGCGTATTGAAATCATCATTGATTCTCCTCTCTGCTTCCATGGCTGCCTCCTCTGAATGTTCTTGGTGTAGTGGATGTAATCTCGGATCACTGCAACCATATTCACGTGTGTTCTTGAATGCTTCTAGTTCTTCAAAAAGAAGTTGATCAACAACATCTGTATATACTCTAGCATCAAGTCAACATCTGTATTGGAATACCAGTGATTTTGATGTTGATCTGTAGTTGTTTGTACTTCACATGCCAAAACATATGTCGATGTTGAGGAGAGAAACTGGATAACCTTGATTGTAGAATCCTGCCCATTCACCATGGTAATTGTTGGTAAAACAATCAGCAAGTTTTCGAAAAACTGAATCATCTTCATTGCCAGTGATATCGCAACCATAGTAAAATCTCTTGGCAGGTTCCTGTTTTGGAGCTGTGTCATCCTTTGAATCTTTCCTTGGTTCCCCTGATTCCTCCTTCTGCGAGGAGCCTTCAGGTGGAACTGATGTCTCCTCCTTTGAAGAGTCTTCAGCTTGTGGTGGAAATGTTGGCTCCACTGGTTCCTTCTGTTCTTCCTCAACTTCAACTTCTTCTTCCTTCTCTTGTGCCTTGACAGCTCTCTCCATGATCTTTTCCTGAACTATCTTGTTGCACATGCTAAGCCACTGATTTGTACATTCAATTAAAGAATCATCTTCAGCTTCCAAAATGATGTGCTTGTTCTCCTTGTCGAGATGTTCAACATTGCCTTGAAACTCAGGTTCTTCACGATGACCGTTTCGATGTTGAGTAGAGCAGTTAGACCATCATGCTTGGAAGACACTTCTTCACGTTTTTGTGTTTCCTCTTTCTGCAAAGAGCTTACACCTCCTTTGTTCTTTTCTTCCTCTCGAGGTCTAACTGCCACTTGCAGAAAATGTGAAGCCTGCATCATTTTCTTCCATATCCACATCATCAGCTTGATCATTGGGAACATGAGAAATCTTGCTAGTATTTGCGACCCAAATATATCCATCAAGCCTTGTAGATGTATGAAACTCACCTGCATGTAAATCACGCGCCTTGGTTCTTGAACTGGTAGATTGGTGAAAAGCTTCATGTTGGAAGAATTGATTGTAGGCATGCTCAACAAAGAATCTGTAAGA